TAATTTTACATTGTTTTTCTTTTCTTCATCTTGCAGCTGTTGAATTGTTATTTCTTTGTTTCTTGCTATTTTTAAGAGATCCTTCCTTTTATGGACATTAATAGCAATGCTGTCTTCAAGGTCTGAAAGTCTCTCTTCAGCTTCGTTCAACCAGTTTTGTCAGCTTTTTTTTTCTTTTTCTTTTTTGGTTTTTCTCCGGTACCGGGAACCGAACTCATGACCTTGCTCTTGCCAGGCAGGTGCTTTTACCGCTGAGCTAAATCCCCAGCCCCGCCAGCTTTTGATGGAAGTTTTAATTTCCTGGATATCTGTTTCATGCATTCCATTTCTTTCCTATGGTGTTCATTCAAGGTTTCCATTAATTTACTATGCTCCTCTATTTCTTTTTCTATGTCCTCTTTAGATATGCTAAGCAATTCTTTCATTATTGTGGTCATTTCTTTTTTTACCTCAGAGATTATTTCTGTTCTGATGTCTTCTATGACCTGATGGAGTTATTTCTTTACTTCAGCTGCTATCATTTCAGAAATTTCAGGTGTATGACTTCCCAGATATTCTGTGATGATACCTCCTGGACTTGTTCTGGGTGGGGTAGAGGTCTAAGATTGCATTTTGCTCCTTCATTTTGTTATTTTCAGAGATCCAGAGGTTCCCTGAAGCTCAGTATCACTCCCATGATTATGTTGTAGTAGTGGGACAAGGACCCAAAGGTCCCTGGTGTTCAGTGTGACTCCCTTGATGGTGTGTGTGTGAGGGTGAGGTGTGATCCCCAGTGCCCCCACACCTGTCTGGGGCTCAGCTTCGCTCTCACTCAGGTGTTCCCAAAGCTGTCTGGGTTTCAGCCCTGTTTTCACTGGGGTGTAGTAGTGCACAGGATATGGTCACCAAGGCTCTAGACACTGCCTGGAACCCAGCCCTGTTCCCATGCCAGTGGGTGGAGAATGAGTGTGCAGTCACTGAGGTTGGTAAAGCAGTCTGAGGTTCAGTTTAGCTTCCCTGAGGGTGTGGGGTGGGGGTAGGGAGTGGCACCCAAGGCTCCTGAAGTTGTCTGGGGCTCTGCCTGGTTCCCATGCTGGTGTGTTGACAACTGGTGGTTAACTTGTAACACCCAGCTGAACTGAACCAGAGTGTTCTGGGTGTGGGAGGCCCACATGAGGTTTGTTGCCAGCAGCATAAGAGGCAGAACTAAAGAAGAAGAACAGAGACTGTTGGGAGCTGGCAGAAGCTTTTGGGAAGCTGTTAGGGAGCTGATGGTTCTCTTGGGCTATTCTGCTGGAGGACCTTGTCATGCTGGCTTTCCTGATGAATTTGGCTGTTTTTGTCAGAGAAGGAGGTTGAGCCTTTGTTGTTGCTGAGAGGAGCACTTTTGAGGAGCTCTGATCCTCACTTTGATTATCACTCCCTGGCTCTGGAGGGGAAGATGTTGCACTGCTCTGTCTCCTGGAGAAGCTTGTTGCATTTGCTTTCCTGATGGAAACTTGGCTTTCCTCCTCTTTGGAGAAGCTCTGGATCTCACTGCTGCTGAAGATGGCTGTGGTACTTTTCAGGGGAGCTCTGGTTCTTACTTTGAGTGTTGCTTCCTGCCTCCAGTTCATATCCCTCAGCCTGCTAGCACAGATCCTTCATCCTGATGGCACAGACTTTCTAACTTCCACCACTGACCTTTGGACCTTTCCAGCACAGATCCATGAAACAGGCCTGCATGAGACATTGTCATGGGCTCTAGGCCTAGAGCTGAACTCGTGGGAGACATTGTTATGGGCTGTAGGTCTTCAGCTGGACTCATGCAGGACATTACTGTGGTATCCAGGCCCTCAGCTGGAGTCTTTGGGCTTTAGTGTATGGAAAGATTTCCTGTACTCTCTTTTTGTATATGATTCTTTGGGTGACTATTATAAATAATCTTATAAAATGTGTCCTGCATTATTTTGTTCCTGTTGAAAAACCCCAAACTACAACAAACTATTATTATAATAAGGTTAGACTCAAGGTTCTATTATACCTTGCCTAAAAGAGTAGCTTGATTTATACATCCCTGAGTTGGAGCTTTGCCACCACACCTGTGACTTGAGCTAGTCACTCAGTTACCACAATCACTTCCTTATGTGTAACTAGAAGAAATGATACACATCACATGCCATGGTCTGAAGATGGTTGAAGTATGTTGACCCAAAGTTCATGAGTAGGGAGATTGGTCCTCAGTGTGATAATGCTGAAAGGTGGTAGAACTTTTGAGAAATGGAGTCTAGTGCAGGGTTGCTGCTCTTAGGAGGAATATGTGTAGTTCTTGTGGGACTTGGTGGTTATAAAGAGCAAGCTTGGGACCTCCCCCATATTTCTATGTTTTCCTGTCTCATTATGTGATCTCTTCCTTTTCAAAGTGCTCTTACTATGATACCACCCTCCATGATGTGATGAAGCCTGAGGTACTCTGACTGGAATCAGAGTCATGCTACCTGGATGTTTTAGCCTCCAAAACTGTGAGATAAATAATCTTGGTCTACAGTAGGAGCCTACAACCCATGGGCTATAGATTGGTACCAGTCTGTGGCAGGAGGTGAGTGGTGGGAGAGTGAGTGAAGCTTTCTCTTTATTTCCAGCCACTGCCCATTGTTTACAACAGTGCCTGAGCTCTGCCTGCTGTGAGATCAGTGGCACTAGATTTTCATAGGAGTGCAATCCCTACTGTGAACTGCATGTGAGTTACCGAGGTAGTGTGCTCCTTTAAATCCCCAAATCATCCTCATCACCTCATTCCTAGAAAAATTGTCTTCCATGAAACCAGTTCCTCATGCCAAAAGTGGTTGGGGACCACTGTCATAAAAGACACAGCCTTAGGTTTTTTTCTATAGCATTGGAAAATGAATTAATACATCACATGAGAGTTATTGGAAAATTAGTGAGATAATGTGTATAAAGCACTGGTATAGTGATGGCATAGGCTGCTTGTTTTTAATACTAATTCAAATAACTGAATTTCTTTTAAAAACTTTTAATTAAATTAATAACTTTGTACTTTTTGGTCCAGGTTTTTAAAATATTAAACAATACATTCATCTAACTTTTTCTCCATTTAATGAGTATATAATGCACTCAACTCTTAACCAAGAACTGAATGAAGTACTGTGGTTTTAGAGATGACCAGGCCATAGTGCTGCTAATTAAAGAATTCATGTTGTGGATGAGGAGAAAGATTTGATAAAGTTATGACTGAAAGAAAAATGAATTAGGTAAAAAGGGTGAAAACTTCAAGTTAATTTTATTCATATTCATGTCAGAGTACGTTTCTGTAAATGTGTTTCCAAGAAAACATTTCCCCAATAATGTAGGTACACATTCCTTCTCTTTTGAAGATATATTTTAAACCTGTAAGATTGACTTATTAAGGCAAGTACAACATATTCTTGGCAAGTACAACATATTCTTGGTCATCTGTAAATGCTAATGAAATCGACTCCATGAAAGTTGAGAGTATAATAATGGTCACTAGAAATTAGGAATGGTCACTAGAAATTATAGACAGGCAGAAGAGAGAGACAGAGGGAATTCAGATAATAGGAACCAAAATATAGCTCCATAAGAGGAATACATCATATTGTTCTAAAGCACAGCAGAAAGACTACAGTTCACAACAATTATTATATATTTCATAAAAAACTAGGGAATTAAAGCCTCAATCCAAAAATGGGCATCTAAAATGAATAGACACTTCTCAGATAAAGAAGCACAAACAAAATAAATATATGAAACAATGTTCAATATCACTGGTCTTTTGAGAAATGCAAATTAAAACAGCACTGAGATTCCATTTCAATCCAGAAAGAATGGCTGTCATCAAAAGATCAACCAATAACAAATGTTGGTGAAGCTGTGGGGAAAAAGGAACGCTTCTCCACTGTTGGTGGGAGTGTAAATTGTATAACCACTATGGAAAACAGCATGGAGATCCTTGCAAAACTAAAACTAGAAGTTCCATTTGACTCATCTATTTCCCGTCTTAGTATCTTCCTGAAAGAGTCAGAAGCATCACATTACAACAATACATGCATACCTATGTTTATAGGAGCATAATTTATAATACCTAAATATTGGAAATAGCCCAAATGTTCATCAACAAAAAAAATGGATAAAGAACATTTGGTGTTTACATACAATGGAGTACTACTCTGCTATAAAGAAGGACAAACGAGATATTCTTAGGCAAATGGATGTACCTCAAGGTCATAATTTTAAGTGAAATAAGACACAAATTTAAATATTGTATTGTTTCCCTTGTGTGTGAAACCCAAAGGATAAATAGCAGAAATGGAGGCTAGATATTGGGAAGTAAGAAGAACATGTTCAAATGGGAAGGGGAACAAGAGAAGGGGAGGGAGAAGGGAAGGAAAGAAAAGGGGATTTTAAAAGAGAGTGGGAGGAAAAAGTGGAAACAAAGCATTTGTAAATGACGGGAAGAAGAGTTGAGGGGAAGGGAATGGAAAAAAGAAATTATATATATATATATATACACACACAAATTCTCCATGATGAATGTGATCATTATGTACACAAACATGTATGTACTAATACAAATTTTAAAAAACCCCATAACAATCTAAAGAAGCTTTATCATCCAAAGAAATAAAAAATGATTCAGGAGATGGAAATGCTAATTCCCCTTATTTGTCTATCACATATTACATACATGTACTACATTATCACACTGTACTCCATCAATATATACAATTATCATACCTCAGTAAAATACATAAAAAATAAAATTCCCAAATCATTTCTGCATTAACTGAGAAAAAGCCTTGTTGTATTCATAGAAAGTTAAAAATCACAGATTAGATAAGAAAAAGGGTGATTCAATGCATAACTTTTGAACAGTGCCTACAGCAGGAAACACCCCGAATGAAGATGCAAAGAAAGACTTCAAAATGTGGGAAAGCAGAAGGACACTGAGTACCAGATGAAGAGGACCAGGTTTTCTGACGCTCAGTGTGCTTTTCTGCCCATCACAGTCCTGCCATGGTCTGTTCACTGACAGGTACCATCTTGCTGAGGAGTCTCCTCAGAGCACCCTTCATGTCCCTGTTCCTCAGACCGTAGATGAAGGGGTTCAGCATGGGGGTGACCACGGTGTACACCACTGAGGCGATCAGACTCATCCTAGAGGACAGTGTGGCTACAGAGCTGAGGTAGACTCCAAGGCCTGTGCCATAGAACAAGGAGACCACCAAGAGGTGAGACGCACAGGTGGAAAAGGCTTTGTATTTGCCCCCTGCTGATGATATTCTCAGAATGGAGGAGAAAATCTGAGAATAAGAAAAAAGAATCCCAGTAAGGGGAAAAACAGCTAGGATGATGGTCACAGAATACACTATAATTTTATTGATGAGTGTGTCAGAACAGGCAAGCTTCAGGACTTCAGGCAGATCACAAAAGAAATGTGGGATTTTGGTATTAGTGCAAAAGGACAACCTCAAAATAGTCAAGCTCTCAGAAAGAGATCCCATGACACTGGTCATCCAGGACCCCAGAGCCATCAGCCCACAGAACCGCGGGGTCATGATGACCCTGTAGTGCAGGGGGTGACAGATGGCCACAAAGCGGTCATAGGCCATTGCTGTCAGCAGCAAATTCTCCAGGCAGCCAAACACAATGAAGAAAAACATTTGTGTGATGCAGCCTCCAAAGGTGATAGCTTTACTGTGAGTCTGTATGTTCACCAGTGTCTTTGGGACGGTGGTGGAGGTGAAACTGATGTCAGCAAAGGACAGGTTGGAGAGGAAGAAGTACATGGGGGTGTGGAGGTGTGAGTCTGAGGTGATGGCCAGGATGATGAGTAGGTTCCCTGTGATGGTGACCAGGTACATGGGCAGGAGCATCCCAAAGAGGAGGGACTGCAATTCAGGGTCCTCTGTGAATCCCAGGAGGAGGAAGTTTGTGATTGCTGTTTGATTTCCTGTTTCCATGAGGCTGCTGAATTTGCCCAGGAAGAGAAAAAAAGAAAAGCAAAATTCACTCTAAAGGCATTTCCCAAGACAACCATAATACCTATTACTCAAGTTCAGGGAACTCAAGAAATCATTCGTTTTGACTAGTTATTGGTTATCTTTGTTGACAGGTTGTTATCATTGGTATCTGAAAAAAAATCAGCTTTTTAAATCAGTGGTTCTGAAATGCTGTCCCCTGGGACAGCAATATGAGCATATTTAGGAAGCTTGTCAGAAATGTGTGTTTTCAGGCTCACTTTTCCACTTTCACATTCTGGGTCTGAACAAGCTCTCTTGGGATTCTGCACACACATACACACACGCACGAAACAGGCTCCAATGTTTGTGTACATTCTAAGCAATCTTCCCTGCTCTAGTGTCCTTGGTGGTTTCTCTGGTATGTTCTGACTAATCCATTTGGGAATGAAATTTACTAATTCTAGGCAGATTTATCAGTCACTGGAAAGGTCTTTGTTTTATTGTGTTGGCTTTTTGTAAATTTTACATTCTCATTTTTGGTTCTTTGGATGGTCCTTCCTCTAGAAAATGTTAATAAGCACTGTTATTAGCAACTCCCTTTTCTTTTTTCTATTTTAAAAATAAAAGGAAAACATTAACAGACAGACAACATTTTACAAAATAGCAAAAGAACAGTACAGACAATACGGAGTTACAAACAAAGTGGTAGGAAATCAACAATGCTTGTTGTATTGCATATTGATATCTTCAAAGTGGTTTCTCATGAAAACAGATAGACACATGCAATATTGATCAACTCCCTTTTCAATTTCATTTTAATGACCACATTCCCTATGCAAGACCATGCAACTTGGAATTGTTAAATAACATATCCTAGAGTTTCTAAGTGTAAAATGGAAACTTGCACATGTTTTCCACCATATGAATCCGCACAGGATAAAAATGACCACCACATGGAAATGGCTCTTTATATTTGCCCATTTTGGACATTTACTTTCTTGTTAAGTTTTATGTATGATGAATACACTTTGGGTTAATTTTAACTTTATATTTTCCTCTAGGTAATCAGTTAATGGCCTTTTGTCAGGTGTTCAAAATTCAGGCATTCCTTTTTCACATTCTTATTAATAAATGATTATAAATGATTAATTGTGTCAATAGTAACAGACTTTCTGACTTTTTTCATGTTTTCAATTATTTATCTTCATAATGTAATTACAAGTCGAGTGTAAAAGCCACCTAGTATTATTTATCACTATCATTAGTCTATTCTTGGTGCCAATCTGTTCCTTGGATGAATTTTAGAATCTCTAGTCATGTTGGAAGAAAAATAATATTAAAATTTTGGTAGGAATTCCATTAAAGTTATAAATTAATTAGGAAAAAATTAACCTCTTTACTATGTTCATTTTCTTGTTCCAATAATAGATATGTACCTCTACATATCTCAATCCACTTTTAGGTATGCTTTCTTGAAATTTTTTTTGAAAAAACTTGCAGATTATATTAATTTCTTATTAGGAAATTTTTAGTGCAATTTATATTTAATGTCTATTTATTATAAATGCAATGTATATTAATGTCATATTTAATGTATATTTAATTAAGAATGATACTCCTCCATGTTATATCTCTGCTACTGCTAATATATTAATAAAGGTTTTGATTTTCTGCATTGATGAAGTGTTTTGTTTTGCTCCTGTATTTCTTTATTAATTTAAGGATTTCCTATAAATTTCTAATCTCTAAATATTATTAATTCTTGAGACATTTTATAGGTCTTACCGAATTATTGCAAAATTCCAGATCCTTGTTAAAATGTATAGTGAGGTTTGGAATTCATGTTTTTCTTTCAAAGGAGATAACCCTAGAGTTTTGTAATGTAATATGAGCCTCACTAGCATATGAAATGTGCAATTAAAAATCATATTAACTTGTAATTTTTGTTCCTGGATATTTTAGAAGGGATTTGTAAAGCTATGAGTAAATGTTTAATGATTACTTAAATATATAGAAAAATGATGTTATATTAATCTCTATAATGCAAATAATTTTGAAACATTAGATGTAGAATAAGACAGTACATCAGCTCTCCAAGGGAAGCATACATAAGTAAATAATATATACTTCAATTTGGCAACATATTCTTTGAAAGTACCAGTATTTTCGAAAAAAATTTTTCAGTAGAAATAAGAGAAGTAAAGATCAGTAATAACAGTTATAGATAAAAAATTAGCAATGAAAACATTTGTTGGAGAACATCAGAATGCAAGAATAATGTATTTGATGATAGAGGTTAATAACTTTGATTTACAAAGTCTGTGTGATAAATTACAGCCTAAATGCACTGCTGTGGAAAAGGCGGAGCATATTAAATGTTCATATAAGAAATGTATAAGAGTAATAAATGCTTGACATTTTGAATAGAGGTGAATGAAGGCACTTGTAATGGCTTAAGAAAGATGCCAACATCCTGGATAAGAAACACTTAAGATATGCTGGTACTAAGGGAAGTTCAGTGTCTGTTAGGAAGGTAGAGAGCTTCAGAATTGGCTTCTAGAAGCAAGAGAAAGCACTCTGAGAAGCTAAGAGGAAGAGAAACTGAGAGGGATGCAGGAACTGATTGCTTAGATTCTTTGATGAATGGCCTCTCATTGCATTGCCCTTATCATCTGCCTGCCTCCATACCTACTGTCCGCATCAGGAGTTCCTGATGATCCTCCCTTCTTTGGGTGATCAGCTCCAAGGTTAGCAGAGTGGTGGCATCAGGCATAAGTGCTTTGTATGGTACAGTGGAACTCACCCTTTCCTGTCACAGTAGAGCTAGCTGAGTGGATGATGGGTTTGTACATACTATTTTCAGGGCCTCAGAAATTACATTCTAATGAATGTTCATTAAATTAATTCCATTGTTACTCTATTCTCTGAGCAATTAGGTTCCCATGAGTGGTGAAAGCAAAATAGAAAGATATTTTTGTGTTCCGGTAGTTTAATATCTTGAGGATCATCTTGTTTTGCCAGATATGCATTTTCCTTTCCCAGGGGTTTTTGTTCATGATGCTACTTTTTCCTGGACCCGATCTCCTCTGTTTATCTTTCCCCATGAGCATTTCCTCACACGTGAAACAGGGTTTATTTATTATCAGTGATATGAGCAGGCACAGTTTTCAAGACCCTGTGAGTTTTGAGTACCTTCACTTGAAGTTGGAGTTGGAGATGGGGTCCACATCCAATTTCACATAAAAATTTTCCAATGATGTCAAACCTTCTATCCTCAAAGTTAAAAGTACAGTATATACAAAGTTCCAGGGTTGTGGTTAGAGAAGAACTGGGAGAGGTGAGTTGGCTGGCTGTCCAGGTAGGACTCTACAGGTATTTGCAGCTTTGCAAATTCAAAACAAGCCCACTGGCTGGCCTTCAGTGTTCCAGCCCAGAAATAAAGAACTATCTTTAACAATTTACAAGTCCTTACTTTTACAGCCTATTGTGGTTTAGACCCAGAATGTCCTCCCAAAGGCTCATCAGCTCAGAAGTGGGGCTTGTGCAAGGTGATTGGATTATGGGGCACTACAGCTGGCTTGCTCTTAGGAGACAGAACTGAGTTAGAGGCCAGTTATTGGAGGTGCAACCTGGGAGGATGCATCTCCCTCCCGGCCCCTCCCTTTCCTCTGTTTCTGGAGGCCATGATGTGAGTGACTTTCCTTTGTGGCAGACCCTTTCACCACACCCTTCCTGCCTTGGACCTGGTTGACTGTGAATTGAAAATGTGAGCTGAAATAAACCTCTCTTCCCTCAAATTTATGGCTGTCCAGTATTGTGCCTCAGTAACAAGAAAGTGGTGAATACACAGCCCAACTGTGTATTTTATTAATACTTCCAGAAGATGAGAAAAACTGGACACAAAACATCTCTTTGAGAGGCCATCTTTATTTTTCTTTTAGTGATTATTTATTTTAAAAAATTATTTATTTTAAAATTTAGTTTATTGGTACATTTTAGATACACATAATGAGCACATTCATCATAGGAGATTTGTACCTGCACATGATATATCTTGCTTTCACTTTTTTTTCTCATTCCCTCCTCCCCCTTTAATCCCTCTTCTTATTTACAAAGCTTAGTTATCGTCTGATCCTTCTTTTCTCCTTCCATTCTTTCCCCCTCTCCCCTCCCTAGTTCCCCTTTCCTTTTGAACAGTTTCTTTCTTTCTTCTTTTTTTGGTACTGAGAATCGAATTTAGGACCTTTTGCCTGCCAGGCACTGTAACACTGAGCTATACCTCCTGGCCCTTTTAAATAATTTCTTTCTGTTTCATACTGTTATACATTTTAGTTCTTATTTACACTTTCCATTTCTTACACTACAGGGACAGTGCGATTACACATGTAATTTATTTCATTTAAGAATATGATTTACTTCATTTAAGAGTATGGTCTCCAGGTGCACCCATTTACCTAGAAATGTCTCAAGCTTATCCTTCTTTATGGCTGAGTAATATTCCATTGAATGAAAACACCCCTTCTTTTTAATCCATTCATCAGCGGTTGGGCATTTGTGTTGTTTCTAAGATTTAGCTATGACAAACTGTGCTGCCATAAACAAGGATGCACTGTCTTTAGCTTAAAGAAGTAGTCAGTGAGATGAGAACTTTCTTGTTCAAAGGGAAGCCCTCCCATGAAGCCCGTAATTTTCATGCATTCATGCCTGATCAATGTTTTATTCCTAGCTCCCCACATTTCCCCTCCCCATATTTCCACCCCTCAGGAAGGGGTGACATTCTTTATTTACAGTTGGTATAAAGGCATCGGCTGATACAAAATGTACTCTAGGAAAGAGCCTTGTGGAATTCATTGTTGGACCTAGTGAAAGATAATTATTGAAGACATTAAAGAGAACCGTGTACAGTGACTTTTATTTGAGAGCAATGCTACTGAGTATTTTTGTTGTCCTATATCAGGAATGTTGCTCTTTGGGTAGCTGATTGGTGTTTATTTTGTTAC